TCGTAGGTGCAAGGAAGCAACAAGAAGACAAGGGTTTCAAGTTCTTCTTCTTCACTCCAATCTCCGTCTCCAATTCTCTGTTCCCTCTCCTTGTATTAGCTTAGGGTATTTATAGGTTTTAGGCTTAGTCTGATTAGGAAATTTAGTTATGTTGATTTGTTGTTACAAATCATTCAAATATTTGATTGATTCTGATTGTGAATTAGGGATTAGATTTAGTTAAAAATTAGAATTAGGGTTTGTAATTTGTTATGAACTTGGATGTAATATGTATTTGTATTCATATATTCAAATAAAATCTTCAATATTTCTCTTGATTTGATTTGGTTCGATCTTCTGGAAATTGGGCCTTTGTTGTTTTGCTTAGGGTTGAAGATTGAGGGACTGTGTGCAACTTGTTCAAGGGTAAAAACCCTAATTTTGACTAAGTCAAAATTTCTAATAATTAATTAATAATAATAATAATAATAATAATAATAATAAATAATAATACCGAAAAAATAATGGATAATATATATTTTAAAAAAATAATAACTAAATAATAATAATATAAAATGCAACCAAATAAACAAATTTTTTGTAGTGTTGACCATCGGTCAATCAAACGTGATAATAGTAAAAAGTAGTTAATAATAAAAGATATTTACTTTTCATTTTAAAATTAAATCCCCTGTGGCCCTCCTTACAACACTAATGGGTTTTTTAAGACAATGAAATCAATTATAAAATATAAAATAAACCCTATCTAAATTAAAATGTAAATTTTAGTATGCATGAGAAATTAATTTAAACAAATGAGAGTAAATGATAGCACCAAAAATCAATATGAAAATGACTAAATAAAATAAAATGACTATTAGCACCAATACAGTCAAATTTAGGGTATGATAACACTGTCTCTACTCATTATTTTTCTAACCACTTGTCTACAGTAGTGGTATTGAAACAAGTGGGATAGAAGCTTTTGATTCTCTGAGATGTTTCAGTAATAGAGCATTGGTTCAGTGTGTTGTTAATTGCAAGAGTTCATGTATTTTTGAGGTAGGTTGCTTCCCGAACCCGAAGAGAAAGCAGACTCGAGTTTCTTGTTTACCGGCAAGTTGAGATGTATTTAAGGGAGAATGCCCAGGTATTGGTGATGTTCGTTTCTCTGAGAGCAGAGAATAATGTGAGGGCTAATGTAATACCACTGGTGTGTGATTTTCTTGATGTTTTTCTTGAAGATATCTCCGGCTTTCCTCCAGAACGTGAATCTAAGTTCGACGAAGGTGGAAGAGTTTGTGGGAGACAGTGCGTCGATTTTGATACTTAAGAAGAAAGACATTTTTATGAGGTTGTGTGTTGACTACATAATACTGAATAAAGCCACAATGATTATTCAATGATTTCGTTTGGTGTGTCTAATGCTCTTGGTGTGGTCATGGAGTATATAAACAAAGTCTTATATCCGTATTTGGATAAGTTTTTGGTAGTATTAATCGATGATATTCTGATTTATTCAAAGAAAGATGAAGAACATGCCGAACATCTGAGAGTGGTATTAGAACAAATGAAAGAGAAGCAATAGTATGTTGAAGCTTACTAATAGTGTTCTTGGAGAGATTAAAGAAGGTCAGAGGACTGATTTGAGATTTTTTGTTCGATTAGCTCTAATCAATCACGACCAAGGTGGTGAATTCATAATCGATGAGAATGATGTGATCATATTTAGAGATAGAGTTTGTGTTCTTGATGTGCCAGAACTTAAGAAGAGTATTCTTGAGGAAGGACATCTAAGTGGTCTGAGAATTCATCCTAGTGCAACGAAGATGTATCAAGACTTAAAGTAATTTTTTAGGGCACAAATTCTTTAAGTGTGGAAGATTTGTATCACCCCATTTTTAGTAAATGATTTTATTTTATTTAATTATAATTTTATATTTTTATTTAATTATTATACATTGATGATTAAATTAATGTGGGTGAGAGGAAGGGTGTATGACCTTATGGTAGGGTGTAGAGAGTAATTAGAGGAAGAGAAAATAAATTAGAATTATTTTATTGGCTAAAATAATGATTTGATTTGATTATTTAAATAAAATAAAAGAAATAAGATTGTGTAGATAAATTAAGGGCAAGCTGGTAAATATGAGAATAATTTGGGAGTAGAAGAGAGAAAGCCTAATTAGGAGAAAATATGTATTATAAAAATAGAGCATCGGGAAGAGAATCAATTTTCATTGTACGTAAAAACTTGGAAAAAAGGAGAAGAAGACTAGGGCAAGAGAAGGCATAGGAAGAGCACTTATTAATAGACCTTGAAAGAATCTCTCTCTCTCTCTCTCTCTCTCTCTATCTATCTATCTATCTATCTATTTATCTATCTATCTATCTCTTACTCTTGCATTTAATTTTTGTAGGATATTACATGCTTAGATCTTCAATTCTTAGCATAGCTTATCGTTTATTCAATTTATAGTGATTTATTACGTAAGGTTAGGTATTGTTAGAATTGGAACCTAATTGAGCTTTAATGGTGATTAAAATATGAGAACTTATTGAGTGTAGAATTTGTTGAAATTGAATCCTTGTATAAACACATCTCGTGGAGTATACAACTGAATCAATTGAATACCTTTGTGTGTCATCATTAGATCATCTTTGATACTTGTGAAGTGACTAAGTGTCAACATAATCAAGTTTCAATAAAAGTATAATTCTCATATTTTCTCTCTAAATCTTTCGCGTGTAAACTTTGAAAAACCTCGACAATATATTTTTGGAAAATTGGTTAAATTTTTGTTTTAGTCTATTCACCCCCTCTAGACTATTTTCGTACTCCATATTCTCACTCAACAGTGATATTTGGCTTATAATAGGAGGAGAGATTAATCCAACGATTATTGAATTTCCTGTATTACCAATTGTCGACGCAAATGGTTGTTCTCCTACATTTGGAGCGTTGTTCTAGGGGGGGTATTTTTTAACGTTGGACGAGTCATTTGAAGAAATTTTTTGCCACTTGTTAGACGCATAAACACTCAACAATCAAAGACATTTCATGTATGAAGAACAAAATAACAATAGAAGACACTTACTTATTTGGAGAAGTAAAATTACTTGCACAAAAGGGTCCCACTGTGTGTGCCAATTTATTTAGTAGTATTCTTAGCAAATCAAATCACAATTTTTAGTTCACTTAAGAGATTAAACTCGAAAAAATCCTAAGATTAATTTGTGCAAAATAATATAACAACAAGTATTTGGGTTTGGAACTAAAATGTTTGGATAATAAGAATTTGGATAGAAATAATGATCAAAATAATGTAAAATTGATTTGGAAGAAGAAAGTAAATAAAAGCATAGTAAATGCCATTAAAGTAAATGCTTCGATTTAAATGACTTTAAGAATCAAAAGAAAGGATGCTGACTCATACATTTTCTCACAAATTGTTTCTCTTTGTGACTTGAATACTTTAGTTTTATAGAGAAGAAGTAAAAATTACAACCATTATTACATCAATGAACTTGATTTAAATACTAATCTTATATTAATCATCGATAACGATTATTACTGCAGAGATCGACACGTACCCTCTATGTGGGCTCTAGTCTTCTAGTTTGCTTCCATGTGTCATCAACGTTTGAACTACTACAAACCATCACTCATACTGATATCTTTCTTTAGATCTCTTAATTGCTTATGCCGAGAAGCTCTAGTCGACTCCTATATTGTCGTCGAAGCATTTCTAGTTTAACTGATCTCTGGCCTAAAAATACACAAAGTCCCCAACATCTGATGGGCGTGCCGACTTTCGACGCTTCTACACCATATTTCTACGTCGAAGTGCTGGTATTTTTGCAAACTTTTTCGAGCTTCTAGACATGTTTTGAAGGGATAGTGGTCCTAATCTTACATATCTGTTCCTGAGACTCCTCAAAGGTACGCTTACACCTGATAGGCAAGTTGACCTCAACTCTTCAGTCGAGGTTATCAATATGTCGAGACTATATCTTAGCAATCTCATATCTTTGTATCACTCTTTTATGTCAAAGTACTAACAAATTCTCAGGCTAATAGTATTTCAATGATCTTCGAAAATCTCTCAAATCTCTACTTAGCTCTGAGTTTTCTGTGAAATACTTGGTATTGTTGAATTATTTTTTTTGGGTATTGTCTTCTCCTGACATACAGGTGGCTTATTTTTGTCTTGGAAAAAATAAGTAGGAAAAACATTGAACGAGTTGGAATGTCTTCATGCAAGTTTTTTCCGTACCCTAATTAACACTAAACTGAAGCTGGGTGTAAAAAATAGTACCTCACATAAAGATCTTTTTCTCTACCGTTACCTTGTTGGCGCCCTTCAATATCTCACCTTCACATGATCCGATATTTTTTATGCAATACAACACTAATGTTTATTTATGCATGATCTGATGGAGGTTCACATGAATGCTCTGAGACACATTTTGCGCTACATTCAAGATACCCATGAGTATGAACGGCATATTTACCCTTCTTCAATTAGATCGTTGATAGCTCAAACAGATGTTGATAAAAGAGATGTTGATAAAAACGATTGTTCTGATACCAAACGATCTATATCTTATTATTGTATCTTTCTTAGTTATAATTTACTTTCATTGTTTTCCAACCGCCGACCTACGTAATATCGTTCTAGTGCCGAAGCAAAGTACTAAGGTATTGGTAACGTAGTTTGTGAGTCTTGTTGGGTATCTAATCTATTTTTAGAGTTACATTATCATATCCCGAAGGCTACCCTAATCTATTGTAGTAATGTTAATGTGATATACCTCTTTGGGACGATAGCAATTGTTGTATATATATTTATAGCATCAATCACTATTCCTTTTCCATTATCCAAGTTAGCTTATGTGTCATGCTTAAAAGTAAATCCCTCCATTTAAGCATAGTTTTATTAACAAAATCAAGGCTTAGTTTATCATATTTCTATGCCAAATACTCATACTTTCAAACTATACTATCAAACTAGAAGCTGTCACTGTGAAGCCACTTGACTTCCTGAGTCGTTGCAAGGTTCTCTCTTCAATGCTTTCCTCTTGGCACCATAATCTGATGACAACCTACAAACACACCAAAATTAACATTCAAACATAAACTTGAAAAATCGGATGAGTGGTTGTTATATACCCTAACTGTAAGCAAGTATCTGAAATCTCTTCATCCTCTGAACCATAATTCATAACTGCTTTTGGATCCAATCTATGATATTCAACCAACTCTCTCTTTCTTTTCTTTTCTATCTCTTCAACCTGTTTCCGAAGAGCTTCATTCTCCATCATCGCCTTTTGCTCCTGCATATCAAGAATTTCTATCATTCAACTCACACTTATATTATTCTCTACAAACATTCAAACAAAGCATAGTTAAAGACCAATGCGAGTTATTTAATCTCTTAATGCCATGTACCTCTAATTTGGATCTCTTAACTTGTTCTAGAAGCACTTCTTCCTGCAACATTATATTTTTCTTAGAAATATCAAATAATACGTCAGACACATTTTCTTAAAATATCAACGAATCAAACTTTTTTATTTGTATTCCCGTATAACTTATTCTTGAAAATCTCTTTCAAATCCTTGAAACAAACGCGTACCTTTAGTTAATTGAATTTAGTAATTGACACAAAATGCATATGAAAACACATGGATCAAACTATTGATATGTGGTTATTCAAATTAATATGATCATATCAATTTTTCTTTTTATTTTCATAATACACTTCAATAGTTATATTGTACCTTCTTATTTTTGACTGCTGATATCCCTTGGCATAGTTGATTTTCGAGGTGTTGCAGTTCTTTAAAGCCCAATCCATCAAGCATTTTACCGCTCATTCTTCTACACATTATCAAAAACAAAATAAATAAATAAAAAAACGAAAAAGCATGTAAAAATTCATAGAGATATATTAGTTGGACACACAATCTTAAAAAAATCAACTTGTAAGATGAGACGAGAGATATGTCTGCCATGCATTAACGGCGTAATTAGAATGTGATTGTAACAACTTACAAGTAAGCCAAACGGAGTTTTGTTACTTCTTCCTGCAGAATGGTAGTAGTAATATCGAGCTCCGCAACCTATTTTAAATTATATATGCAGAAATGAAATTCTTAAGAGGATGATGGAGCAACTAAAAAAAAGTTATGCTTTAAAATACTAAGTTCATACTTGTGTTGCAGGTAGATCACTATGTTGCTGTTGCTCTGCTTTATTCAAATCAAGACCTCTATCATACCTTGAAAGGGTGTGCTCCATGCTTCATCAATAAATTTAAATTTTATAAAAAAAAAATGAAAAATAAATAAATGATTAATCAAAAAAATCATGCTCTTGGATGATCTCCAGATGTCTTAAGGTTCGAATTCACCCTTAAACATTTAATACCGTTAAACTCTCTTGAAAAATAGTTTTAGCGTCAATAAAATAAATCATATTGACTTATACATTTGAAAAAAAGAAAAATAGCAATGAGCATTGATTTGAAAAAATAGGATGAAATTTATTGCAACCTAGTTTTTTTTTACGAATCAAAGCGACAATAGCTGAATCTCTGGTTACAATTCACCTGAACCTTACCCTCTAAAATAAACCCAACAAAATGCTATTTCCCTCTATTTTGCTTCCTCATAAATTTCATTGCAGGATAAAAGATGTAAAGCTATAAAAAAGTAAAGAAAATTTGAAAAGAGTGATCTCATTACCTTGTGCTTGAAAATTGATAGAGTTTGCCAGTGGCAGAATAAATCAAAACAGCAACCTCAGCATCACAAAGAACAGACAACTCTTTGGCTTTCTTAATCAAACCATTGCGTCTCTTTGAAAATGTAACCTGTCTGTTATTCAAATTCTCAATCTTCTTTATCTCAATCTTTCCTCTCCCCATTTTCTTCCTTAAACCCAACAACAACAACAACATAGAACAAAAGAAAGAGGTTTTAAATTTGTTGTTGAAAGAACCAAAGATGGAAAGTGTGACCAAAATTAGTGTTGTATAGGGAAAGGTTACAGATGGATTACTATGTGTGACAATATTCCTAATATGGTATTCTATTTACTTTTTGGGAGTAGGTAAATACCAACTTTAGCAACATTTCTATAATCTATATCAATACCAATATTTATATCGTACTAGGATTCTCTCTTTCTAACCAACCGAGCTATTTCTTTTCTTTTTCTTTTCTATTTTCAAGCTAAGACTATACTTTAAATATTATATTTATCTATTAACAGTAAAGCTTTTTAACTCAAACTTTGTTTTTCCAAATAATGGACAAGGACTAGTGCTTTTACCATTTTTCTATTCTAACAATCACGACAATACAACTTTATTTCTAACTCTTATTTTGAACAACCTTATAATAATCACGTTCTTATAAACGACTCAAATATTGTAGTCCTATGATATTATTATAAATAAAGATTTTTTTTAAAGTTTATTAAATAGCTGATATATCTCAGCTACGTATAGATTAAATATATAAATTATTTAATAAATTTAAAAATATAATTTTTGCTTATAATAATGATCAGAATATATTTTAAAAAAGCTTTTATATTTTTTTTTGCACCAAAATTATAAAATAAAATTTGATTATTTAATACCTATGCATATATATAAAAGTTTTATGTAATTCTTAATCAAATTATTTAGCTTGTAACACATTTGAAAAAAAAATCCATAAAATAATATTTTTGAATAAAAATCACATATGAAAATTATTTGTTTTATATATTTAGCCTTACCAATTTATTGAAATACTTCTCTTATTAAAGAAAACAACAATTTCTCACATATTAATTTTCTAGAGTAAAATTGACAAAAATTCATAGAAAGATATACGGAATGAATATAAAAAAATTTATATAGAATGAGAAGGGTAGATATGATTGAAAATTCGAAACGTAACTTTATTTTTTTTTAATGAGATCAAATATGTTGGTGCAAGGTAATGAAATGGAGAAGAAGAATGAACAATAAATGATAACAAATAGGACTACTATTGTATATTCAAAAGAGGAATGAATGAGTTACAATATTAATAGCCTAGGTAGCATATTTATACTAAAATTGAAAATGCCAAAAGGCCCTAATAAAGAATAAGCATTGGGAATTATAGTCATTAACTAAATTACATTTCCAATATCATCCCTTAATTTAGATATTCCCAAAACTGCCAACGCAAATTCCATCCCTTAATCCAAGAAATTGATCAGTTTTGATAGCCTTTGTTAGAACATTCATGGCCTGTAATCAAACTTGTTGCTTAAGAGCCTCTTCCGTACTCACGGGTTTAGAGTCTACTAACAATGCACCCTGAATAACTTCTCCTTCAGAGTCTACTTCAGTGTCTAGTAACATGTCAAACTCTGCGAATCTTCTTGAGATGCTTCTGACTCTTTGTTGCCTCTGAACTGGACCTTCAAAACTTTGGACATCAGAACTTTCCCTTTCATAAGCACTTGCTTCAGAAATTGGACTTTCTCCAGAACCTTGACTGTCTTCAGATTCTGGATCACCATCGAAGTCAGAGTCAGAATCATCTTCTCCTTCTGTATCTTTTCTAGAGTCAGAGTCTTTATTAGCTTCAGAAACATGTGTTTCTGACCTTTCTTCAGAAGTTCTGTCATCAGAGTCATGACGAGACTTTTCCCAATTCCAAACTTCTGATTCCTCTACAATGACGTCTCTGTTAAACTCAACTTTGTTAGTTTCTGAACATCGTTCAGAACCACTACCTTCAGAAATACCATTTTCAAAAATTGGATCACTTTCAGAAGCTCTGCCTTCAGAAGTTCCACTTTCAGAATCATGATCACCGTCAAGGACTGAATTTCCTTCAGAAGCTCCTCCTTCAGAAGGTCCAACCTTAGAGTCATGATTTCCACCAGAAACCTAATCATCTTTAGAAGCTTGTCCTCCAGAACCTACGTCTTTAGAATTTTCCCTTCCATAAGCATGATCACCACCAAATTTTAGATCATCATCAAAATCTGGATCAAAATCAGATTCACCATCTGACTCACCTTCAGAGTTTCCAGAGTCATCATCTTTTGACTCTTCTTCAGAATCAGAATCTTCTTCATACTCAGAATCACCTTCGGATTCTAACTTGTCTTCAGCTTCAGAGTCATCTTCTGATTCTAACTCAGAGTCATATTCTGATTCTGACTTATACAAAATCACTCATTCAGAATCAGAATATTTAGAGTCATATTCTTCTTCCCCTTCAGAATCAGCAAGTGACAATTTCACTGGCTCCTCATCAGATTCTGATGCAAAGGGTAATCTTGGTTGTTTCACTTCCATGCACACCTTGCATGACTTTTCAGGCTTCTTGATTGTAGGAATTCCATATACCAGATTCTTTGATTTCAGATGCCCTAAACTTCTGAAATTCAGATGACCAGATCTTCTGTGCCACAACTCACTCTCCTTGACAACACTTGTTGCACTAAGACATTCAGAGTTTGCAGTTATAACATTCACCTTGAATGTTTTATTCCTTCCCTGTTCTGACTCTATAATCAGCTTCTGATTACAGTTATACAGCTTTAGAAGATTGTCCTTCATGGTAACTGAAAAACCTTTCTTAACCAGTTGTCCCACACTCATCAGATTGCTTTTCATGTCAGGTACATACCAAACATTCTGGATCACTGCTGCTTTCCCATTGTTTAGAATGATTCTGACATTTCTCATACCTTTTGTATTGAGGTGTTTATCATCAGCACATCTGATCTTTGTACTCTTTCCAGAGTCAAAATCAACCAACCACTTCTTGTTGCCTCCTTGTTCAGACTTCATAATTAACTTCTGATTGGAATCATACAACGTCAGAAGATTGTTTTTCATAACAACTGAGAAACCTTTCTCAATCAGCTGACTTACGCTCATCAGATTGCTTCTAATACCAATTTGTTGGTGCAAGGTAATGAAATGGAGAAGAAGAATGAGCAACGTGTCTTAGTGCAGAATTCACTGAAGGTAACAATAAGCTGTGGCATAAGAGGTTGGGACATTTGAAATATAGAAGCTTAGGGCATCTATGTTCCAAGAAGCTTGTACATGGTATTTCGAAGATTGTGAAGCCCTTAGAAGTCATGTGAGATATGCATGAAAGGCAAGCAACCTAGATTACCATTTACATCAGAAGTAGCCCCCAGAGCTAAGCATGCTCTGGGAGTAGTACATTTTGATGTGTGTGGGCCATTTCTAGTACCTTCACTTGGAGGAAACAATTATTTTGTGTCTTTTGTGGATGAGTTCATAAGAATGACATGGGTAACACTCATCAAGTTCAAGCATGAAGTGTTTACTGAGTTCCATAAATTCAAGGTGAAGGCTGAGAAGCAAAGTGGTCAGAAGTTAAAAATTCTGAGAATGGATGGTAGAGGTGAGTATAACTCTATAGTGTTCCAGAAGTTCTGTGAGGAGAATGGAATAGAACATGAGGTTACTGCTCCATATACTCCTCAGCACAACGGTCTTGCTGAAAGAAGAAACAAAACTTTGCTCTGATACCAATTTGTTGGTGCAAGGTAATAAAATGGAGAAGAAGAATGAGCAATAAATGATAACAAAGAGGACTACTATTGTATATTCAAAAGAGGAATGAATGAGTTACAATATTAATAGCCTAGGTAGCATATTTATACTAAAATTAAAAATGCCAAAAGGCCCTAATAAAAAATAAGCATTGGGAATTGTAGTCATTAACTAAATTACATTTCCAATAAAATATTCCAAATAGTAGACACACATAAAATTTCTCAAAATAAAATTCTTATCGGAGAAAGTGCTCCCATTCTCCTATATTTTTTATTAATTAGATTAAAAAATTATATTCTAAAATAAAAATAAAAATAAGAATAACATACTCGAAAAAAATAGTTGGGTTGCGCCATACATATAAAAGAGTATAGAATAATAATCTATTTGCCAATTCAAATATCATTATAAAATTTAACAAATGACTCATTTAAATTAATTGATAATATTAGTTGATAGATCATTAAACTTGTTTTCCATGAAGAAATAAGTTATGCATGTGATTTCGATGAAATTGCTCCTCTACCTAATATAATTGATAGTTTAAGTTTACTAATACAAGTTTTTCAAAGTTTAAAATTGAGGGCTTTGTCCCGAACATGTACTATTATACCCACAATGATTGGACCACTTAATATGATCCTTTTGGCTTGACTATTCAGGGCCTTCTTATATTCGTACCTGCTTCTATTTTCCCTCCGTTATTAAAGCTTTCTGGTCTGGGCCTCAGGTACAGGCTTTTTTTCTTCATTAAAAAAAAGAACTGCCTTAAGGGGGCTTTAGACAACACTTTAAAATTAAAAGCACTGCCTAAAGAGGCTTTTTTTTTGTTTTAGAAAAAGCGCTGGCTATAGGGGGCCTTTAGCAACGCTTTAAAAGTAAAAGTGCTGGCTAAAGGGGGCCTTTAGCAGCGTTTTCAAAGTAAAAGGGCTGCCTAATGGGGGGATTTAGCAGCGCTTTTACTTTTAACAAAGCATTGTCTTTACCTACAGTAGCGCTGGAATGTCTAAAGTAAAAAAAACGTTATCTAAAGTCTTGTTTGGCGTAGTGATCGACGCGTCGAAATTGATAAATGTCGTTGATTATTGAGTATTGACGCGTCAAAATTGTTATTTGTTGTTGAGTGTTTATGTTGTTGTTGGTGTTGATGTTGTTGTTGGTGTTGATAGATTGCAAGTGCAAAAAACTCATTCTCCCTTCGGGGAGACAATGAAGGAAGTTAAGCTCCCTTCTTTGTAAATTATCCAAGGAAGGGATTTTAACTAATAGGATGATGGATATCAGCGAAGATATTCATTCAAAAGAGAAAAGATTTATTTTTAAACTATTTATTT